GGGGGGGTTGTTGAAACAGAAATTTCTTTTGTTTCTTAGATGTTGATGGTACAGAATAAAACTGAACACAGCCGTTGTTTGTTACAATGAAGAAGACATGGTAGGTTTCTGTATAGGCTAGTTTTTAGAGATCTTTGATCAGTGTTGGAATGTAACTGTATAAATTGAACTTGCCTCTCACTTCTTGTCAGGAAACTCGCTGAGAGTTGAGGCAGAACATCAGGGAAAACCAGAAGATTTTCTCCATAAAATATGATCCGGTTTCTCCAAAAATCTATGAATGAAGTTGCAAAGTTGTGTTTTGTACAGTAGTCAGTGAAGACCCGGCCCCCAGAAACACACTCTGGCGGCATCTATCATTTTTTCCAAACCTAGTTCTTGTCTCATTTTGGGTTTGATAAAAAGTATATTCCTTAAATTCATGTTAAAGAAACAACACATTTGGTCTTTGCAAACTGAAATGTTGTACTTGTTTATATGCATATAGATCCGATCACATCATTCGAGACGTATTCTAATGCCAGGTGTAAACTAACGTACTTATGATCGAATCACCCAAGATGCATGTTAATGCCAGGTGTTATCAGGGCCTTTGTAACCCTGAGGTTGTTTATTCTCTGTAAATAAACCAATCCTGATCTCACTCATATTTCCACACAGGTAGCACTCAAACTGATTAGCCAACTGAGAGCGCATGTTGTGATCACACACACACTCATACTCTCCACTGTGGACACACGATGAAAGAGATACGAAGTGTTTACCATGAGACGGTTGTGCACTGACATAACTGATGTGTTGTCCCCATGGAGACCAACCTCGAGCACAGGATGTCTGCTCTGGCGATGAGAGGCTGAACAATGCCAGGGACGGTGTTGTGGTGTCATGCACCAAAACACACACTGTGATCAAATGAATGGTCTTACACTTTCAAACAGCACCATTGAAATCATGGAGGACGCAGAGACAAAGACAGCGATGGAGGAGAGAACACCTGCTGCCTGCTCTGTTTGCTTTGCTTTAACTTATTAGCCCTGTGCTGTATGGGCTGATGGATGTTTGCAGGATATTGACTCCTGGGATCCAAGCAACATACTATCACACTGTGGGTATGTGGCTTAGAAATTAGTCTGTGCATATTCCCCTATTCCCACACCAAATGTTATACACTTACAGTAATTCCATCTTATTAGGTATACTCAGCTAAAACTAATACATTTTAATCCAGCAGCTCTGTAAGAAATCCTACCTTCATGAAGGCTCTAATGTGCCTTCCAAATGGTCTTTTTGGCAGCTTTTAGGAGTTTGTGCAGCTGTTGACTTTCAAGGGTGCACTAATAGATGAGCTGCAAATGTATATTGTGAGTTCTTTGAGAAAAGATTCTGCTCAAAATGACACAAGACGACAAGAGCTTTCTGAATTTTCATGTTGATGTATGAAGGGCTTTCATCTTGTGTGCTTCATGCTGAAAGCAGGTGCTTTCCCCTATTCTTCTCAGGTAAGGATAGTGACGTGGTGGTGGTGGCAGGAGGCTGACCAGCAGTAGCAGTGAGAAGTGGAAGGGGGCTGTGGATGTATTCAAGTTTCATAAGTACAATGGGTCCTGATTTCCATTTTTTCCCATATAATAGGCAATAGTGTAAACCAAACTCCAAAAACAAACAAACATTTTGGCCAACCTTCACGCTTTCTAGTCCAAACAAAGGAATTCTCACAGATAGAGTCACATGACTGTTTCAACTTACTTAGTGAATAGAGCGAATTTCAGTGAGCAAACTAACATTTTGACAAGTAATGTCCAAGAAATACCAGAATAAATTACAAGAAATGGCATGTAAGCACAATGGTCAATTTAATAATAAGAATAAAATATTGATTTGCATTGTAGTCATCATTGCAATGTCACCTTCTTGTCCAGGCCTTGTAATTCTTTGGATACCACAGAATATCAAGTCTGATACTTGGTCCTTGAAGCGCCTGGCCACTGGAGAGTGGGGTTCATCTCTTCTGACTGCAGTCTTGTGTTTTTTTATTCTTATTTTCAGTTGTCTGCTTTGCCAGTGCACTGGAGTTTGTAGGGACATAGGTACGGTAGAAAACATTGATGACCTCTGTGAAGTTTGACTCTCTTTGTGTGACTACAAAATGTGACCTGCAGTGTAATTATATTTTGTTTCATTGACCGACAGTCTTACAGTCATGACTCAGCCTTATGGAGCACTCTGGTTTAGACCAACAGAGAAACACCATCCATCTGTTGGATGGCGGACTTCTTTTCTGCAAGGCCAAGTCTTCCCTATCAGCCTTTGATTAACTATTCAAAATACAGTATGTGTTTGGCATCTCCTATAACCAGGTCTTAAACAGCATGTACAAATTTGTACAGACCACCATCTACAACAGTGATGTTGGTCACTCTCACAAAACTCCCAGAGTTAAGGACTTCAGGGCTGAGCTCCTCACCTGAAGAGTTATGATCTTTACATGCTTTGTTTGCAAGTCTGCTTTTGTCATCATTCAACAGGCCAGTCATCTCATGCTATCACATTACCCTGAAAGTGTTGGGAAAAATGAAAAATGCAGGAGTATGTGAACCATAGAGTCCTTTTTCACTCTCCAAGTGTTAACTAATCCACTCTGCAAAGTGCTACAAAAACCCGCAAAAACCCTCCTTTAGTGTTTTACTCACAGAAGGGTCTAGGTTTACACTGCAGGTGTTGGAAAGTCCTGAAATGGTGTCAAACAGTAGCCGTTATGGAGTATATTTGCATCCTCCCTCTTCAAATGTAACTATATTTGAGCATATATTTTACACTTTTGACAATGTTCAGTGAAAATATAATTGTTAAACTTACACTTCTCTGTTAGGATTAGAGTTTTTTATGGTACAACTCACAGGGTGGTACAGTGGTCTGTTGGATAGCGCTGTGGCTTCACAGCAAGAAGGTTGCAGGTTCAAACCCTGGTTGCCCTGGCCTGTTTGCGTGGGTTCTCTCCGGGTGCTCTCGCTTAGAAAGCTCTCCTTGCTTTGTCCCTCAAATCTTTCACAGCCATGTTGAGGTTTCCTGTGTATGTAATGTTGAGGCCAAGGTAAGTGTAGTTTTTTTGTATGTTGCAATTTAGTGGTGCCTAATTGGAAATTGTGTGTAACCTGATTTCTGTATTGTTTCTGAAAGATCATTATCTTAGTCTTTGCTTTGTTTGCTGTCAGGGCCCATGTCTGACAGGATCTCTGCAGGAGGTTAAGGTGCTGCTGCAAACCTTCTTTAGTAGGTGAAAGCAACACTAAGTCATCTGCATACAGCAGACCTCTGACCCCCCCCCCCCCCACCTGTTCCTGTTGGTAACCCAGCTTCTTACAAATTCTATTACTAAAACCTCTCTAGATGGTATTCTTATAGCAGGCATAGAGATTGTGATAAACCAACTGGCGGACAATACTACACTTTTTCTCAGAGATGATACACAGATTTATGCTTCACTTAAAGTAATAGAGCCATTTTCCAAAGCATCTGGTCTATTTCTGAACATTAAGAAACGTAAACTCATGGCTGTTAAAAAAACTTCTACAGAGGCCTAGTTAACTCTAACCCTATTATTAAAAAGACTCAAACAAAACTAAATCAGTGGTTACAGCGGGATTTATCACTTAAGAGTCCTTATTAAGGCCTTATTAAGGCTGAAGTAATATCTAGGCTGACTTATGCTGCTCTGTCCCTGTATCTTGATGACAAAGTGTGCTGGAAAATAGACCAAATGCTGTTTAATTTTTTGTGGAAAAAACGTATTTATTATATTAGGAGGAGTGTTATTATGAATACCTATGAGTATGGTGGGCTAAACTTTCTGGACTTTTCTACGTTAAATAAGACCTATAAGATTAATTGGATTAAATAATTTGTAAAGAATACGGACTCGATGTGGAACTTGATTCCCAATCATGTATTCTCTATGTTTGGTGGCCTTAACTTTATGTTGGTTTGTAATTATGATATTGACAAAGTACCTGTTAAGCTCGCTGCTTTTCACCGGCAGGCCTTTTTGTCATGGGCCTTAATTTACAAACACAATTTCTCTCCACACAGATATTATATCTGGAATAATCGTGACATTCTGTATAAAAACAAGTCCCTCTTCTTGGGATATTGGTTCAGGAATATAATTTTACTGGTAAGTCAGCTTGTAAATGAGGAGGGTTTTCTTCTTACTTCTTACCTTCAGGTTGTATCTGCATTTGATCCTGGTGACTATCCAGTAGGTAAAGTCTGCTTCTCTTCCCATCCACCTAACAACAGAGCTATTTGTGCCTTGTTCCAACAAGAAATAGTTTCTATTCCATATGTCATGTATTATTGGAATAAGTTTGTCAATGATCTGTGCTGGAGAAACATTTGGATGTTGCCCCATAAATATTTACTTATTTACAAGGTTATGGAAGTATCCTTTAAGATCATTCATTGTGTGTACCCCACTAAGTATTACATGAAGAGGTTTAAAAATGACATCAATCCTAAATGTACTTTCTGTGAGACTCATATAGAAACGATATTACATCTGTTCTGGCACTGTACTTTTGTAAAACAATTTTGGCAGGATGTATGTACTTTTATTAATGATTATATTTATCCAGGTTTCAGCTTGTTCTGGAAAAATTTTCTTTTTGGGGTTTTCAGTAATGAAAAGCAGCACTATGACCATTATTTTAAATAATAAATTTAGTTTTGTTTCTGTCAAATTTCATATACATAAATGCAAATTTATAGGGAAAAAAACTATTTATGGTCTTTAAGAAGGAAATGAACTTTATTTATATGTGTTGTAAGTATCCTTGTATGTTGTATTGTTAATACTTTTGTACTAATAAAGGCATGGGGGGGGGGGGGGTCTACGGCATCCACCCGGCGCCAGGCGGCGCTGCATCCACCAGGATCCATCAGGGATCCCTACGCAGTGCGGGCAGTACCCGGCGCGAGGTTTTCGGTAAACTCCGACTTGAACCCGTACAATAGCGAAAGAGGCCGAGCTGCAGCGGAGCTGTCCGGAACATCCGGCTGCAGCTCCTCAACATAAACAGCAATGGCGGAGGCAGCAGTAGCGTCTACGGCGGCTTCAGCAGTAACAGGAGGTTGGACCAAACACGTAACCTGCAGGTAAGACAAGACACATGACTATTAAAATATCGAAGAAGATTATATCGTCTATTGTTTCACACCAAAATAGTGGCGATGCGTTGGCTGGCGAGCGACTGACAGAAGCGTTTTCTGAGGCTCGGCTCAGCTCCTGGCTAGCTAGCTGTTCCTAGACTGCTGTGTTGTTGTGTTCGCTGTGTTGTGGTCACATCGCAGACTGGTGTGCTAGGTTGACGGCCAGTTTGCTAGGTATGTTTTGAACGATGAACTCGGCTACCAGTAATGCCAGACTCTAACGTTAGACTCACATTAACGTTACGCAGAACAGCTTCCATACAATAGAACAACAAAACCCATAATGCCAGTGTTAACTAGAAGGTAACTTAGCTGTTCACAGGCACTCAGCACACGTTCACTTTAAAATGAACCAACGGTTAGAACCAGCGAGCTTTGCTGGTTGGTGAGTGTAACTTGCATTTCTTAGTAGCTAGGTGCCACGTCCAGGTTACATTAGCTGCCGTAACCAGTTCATTTGTTTGTTGTGACCGCGCAATATTAGCCGGATTGCTTTACTAATATGAAAGTGAAAGACGACATCTACACACAGCTGCCTCGATTTTTATTTGTAGCGGGTTGTTCAGCCTTTTAAAGTTAACACAACTCCGTGTTATGAAAATAAACAACTGTTTCCTGTTAAAATTCTAGTTATATGGGTCTATTAACTAAACATTGTTCTTATTTTGTATTTTCAGATATTTCATGCATGGTCTTTGCAAAGAGGGAGACAACTGTCGATATTCTCATGATCTGACCAGCAGCAAACCTGCAGCCATGATTTGCAAGTTCTTTCAGAAGGGAAACTGTGTGTTTGGAGACCGTTGCAGGTAAAGACACAACTAAAATCAAAAGTTCTTTGACACAAAACCCCAAAATGATTCAAATGTGGATGGAATTAAAAAGGCTTGGGTGTTTGTACTCAACTGGCATGCTCAGAGTCAGCTGTGCTCCCAGTTGTCAGTGGAGCAGTATTATAACTTCCTTTCTAAAACCAGTTATACTCTCAGCCAAGTGACAGCACAGCAGCTTTGGTGGGGGTTTCTCAGAAGTGTTGCAGCATGCTGCTCAAGTGGACCTGACACCTGAGACTGCTGCTTCCTAATGTCAACATGTTGTTGGTCTGCGTCTGTGGCAGCTCAATGTTGGTCCAAGGAACTAGAATCACTCATCTGGCATTTCAGCACTGCTCTGCTGGATGAAACTGTGTATTATAAAATGTGGAGAAAATCTGAAGTTCTGTGGAGCCAGTGTAGGTTCAGCATGCCTGCCAGCATACGCTTCCCTCTGCCTGTCTCACCATAGGTCTTTGTTAAGATGGAAAGGACAACACTTCCAGTACATGCATGTGCGCTTGGCTGGTCATTTTGGTAAAATGGGAAGATTCTTTTGAGCAAATTTGTGTTTTGTCAAAAACCTACATGATACACATGGGTCTGGTCTGTGTTTGAACATCAGTGTTTTATCTTAAAGGACCATACCACTGAGCTAACCATCTTGGTTTTGTTTTAATTCATTTTCTGTTTTATGTGAAAAATCAAGTTGAAACATTGTTAACTATGTGTATATTATATCGCTTAGTGTTTTGGAAATAAAGTGATCCAGGTTCAGGTGTGATGAAGGGGTTTCGAGACTGATGAAGACTTGCACAGTGTGGTTTAATGAGACTCGGCCGAGGAGACGCAGTGCTGGCATACAGTTTGTGAACACATGCAATGCCAACACAAAAAATCTGAAGAATTCTTCCTGTCTGGGGATATTTATCCTTCGTAGATCTTCAGAGATTTGCTAAGTGTCCAAATAATGTTGTTGTTCACCCCTCTAGACGTGTGAAGGTTCTTTTGGTTATTTGTTCAAATCAAGACACTCTGCTTTCCCAAGTTAACCTTTGGTAAGCACACTTGTGTGTCATTTGAGCCACACTTTCTACATAGAGCCACTCAGTCTTCTGTAACGAAAAAAAATAAAGATAACCCCGACCTTGGGTTACCTAACAAATGGATAGCAGTGCATCATTATCAAGACAGCTGCGTCAGTCAGTCGACCAAGCAGGCAGAGAGAGAACCTGACCTGCTGAGTCCCTGGCTGTCACCTTTGGATTACTTTTGCCCAGCAATGGACCCCATCATTCCCTGAGGAGAACTGTGTCATAGTATCCATATATTCCTTCACAATTAGCTGCACAATTTGGCCATGAGATTTGCCTCTTGCGTTCAGTTGTACATTAAAAATATGTTTTAAATCGATACATACGGTTAATAACAAAGATGTCCTTACAGTTTTTATCATAGCTTCAGGTTGTCAAAGGACACTCATTTTCATGAAGCATCCCCATCCATGATGGTCCAGAGTACATTTCTAAACGCATCTTTTGTATCTTAATTAGATCTGTCCAACAACTTTCCTCTCCATGCACGCTGATATCAGTGTCAACCAGTGGCTTTCTAAAAAAAGGAGAACACTGCAGCATGCCTATGGTCAGTCATATTTATTTGAAGTAAATGGGCTTAAACATGCATCGGTACGGTCCTCTTCAGAGGCGGATTAGGCTCCCAGTTTGTTGTCAAGCTTGAGAGTACCCAGACAGCAGCAGCCAAATGCAGACGGTGTCTGCTCCGTGTCTGGCTTCAGGAGCATCCCCATAGTTACAGAGGCACTCAAGACCACCCCAACAGCAGCAGGGGCACAGCAGTTACTCGCATACTTGATAATTTTTCTTGAATAGTCAGCCTATTGCCTTTAGGAAGCCTTTGTTTGAGTCTAAATAGCAGCGAGTTGTTGTTGTTGCTTTGTGTTTAGTCACATTCCTCCATCCTTGGTAAGGAGCTGCAGTAAGGAGGGTTATGTGTCCCAGGGGCCTGTGCACCCTGTAGTCTGGAGAAAGGCTCTCGCTGTGGGGGTTTATTATGTTTGAATTCCCTGGGCCCTGTCTATTGTGATGAGCTCTGTCCTCGCTCTTTCGCTCTGCCTCTGTGTCTCTCTCCCTCCCTCTCTCTCTTTTGCAGCCCCCAGGGCCAGACGGAGTGCACTGCAGCCTGCATGGCAATTGCATAATGCTCTGTTCCCTCCTGCTCTCATTCCTCATTCTCTGCACCCCCCCATGTGCTGTTGATTCACTCTGCTGCAGCTCCCCCTCTCATTTATTTATGCATAGCTCCAGCACAAGTGTCTTCTGATGGAGCTGATGGAGGAGGCTGGAGGAGATATAGGCCAGGTCTTCCTTTTGTAAGGCTGTGTGCACAGGCTGTCATGGCCTGATAGTCATGCGTTTTCTATACAGAGGCCACTCTAACAGACCGATCCATGTGGACAGCTGAGGATCTATTATCAGGGCTGCAGTGTTAATCATGTGATTATTATTGTGATTTTGAATACCTCTAAGCAATCTCATTCTTATAACAAGGGTTCTACTGTACATGTATTGGGAAGAGATTAGTTACATTTAAGCACTGCTCAGTTCTACTGTGTTGGATCAACAAATGTGATAAGTATAACAAATGCCACATGACAAACTTCATAAACAAAGTAGTCATAAACAACTACCGTGTGTGCTGAAAAAAGAAGAGTACTCTAAATTTCTTCTCCCCTCAATAGCAGACCTTTTTTGGAACAGACTTGATTTTATTCATAAACTTTTCCCCAACAAATGAAACTGAGTCACAGGTAAGCTGCAACTAATGATGATTTTAGTACTTGAACTTCTATAGATTATTTCATCGATGCATTGTTTAAGCGTCATTAATAATAAGTTGTCAGGTGGTGCGACCAGCTAAAATATTGATTTAAACTGATAAATAATAGGTTAAAGCGAACATGTGGTTCACAACAATGATGATCATGGATACTGTATTGAAAACGTTTTTTTTGTAGAATTTTTTTTCCTCCATCAATAAATGTAAAATTGGATGCTGAAGATACTAAATAGCTGGCCTCTACAATGCAATAATCTTAGATAATTTGACAATTTAACAATTTGCTAAGCCTATAGATGCTCTCGGGAATGCTTGCCAAAGCTATAACTTAGAATGAATAGTAGGGAAAAAATATTTTACATATATTTTTTCTTTCAAATACAAAAAAGGTGTTTTAGTCAATAGTCTCTATTGAAGTAAAAGTAATGAACTGATTAAAAACAGGATACATGATATCTCATTCAGTAAAACAACTGGAATAGGCTAAGTCCTGTGGATACACTGTATTAGATTTTAATTGAACAACAATGTTTTTAATGTTCTCTCACTGTGCTTTCCACTGTTGCCTCACTATTTGCTATTCTGTTCTGGACCACTGGCTAATTGGGAGTTTCACAGTTTTCCCTCTATCTTCCTCCTCAGATAACTATAAATAGGGATCTTCAGATCCGAGTCATTTAATATTTAGTATCTGCCAATTCCGAGTCCCGATCCGATACTTGTATTTTACTAGATAATACAGTTGCACAGTCGACACTTCAGGATGGTTATGTTTAATTAAATTTCTCTATCCTTAAAAGTATCCTAGTGTGTTGCTTCGTGGCAGCTTTGGATTGAGTTACCTTTTACCTTTTTAGTATTCATTTTTTAGGTGCCTTATTAAATTGGTAGTATTGAACGCAGCTCTTCTGAAGCTAGTAAACACAACCTATTCCCATGAAAGAGAGTGTAAAACATTATTAATTTAAAACAACTTTTTTAATTTTAATTTTCAATCCAAACATTAGTCACTTTAGAATAACTTTCGTTGCAGTTGCGCCACCTGACATACTTTACAACTTATTTCAAATGAAACGGGCTTATAGTATGAAACTTGTATTGACATGTTTGCTTTTGTTAGCAAGTTTATACATATATTGTTTGGATTAAATAAAAGGTTTTATGATAAATTAATAATTTATCATAAAGTATTACATTGGTTGTACTGCCTGACATGGAAAGTGAACCAGGTATATTTGTCATTTTTATCATCAGGGATTTACAAACCTTTTCACTCAGACATAAAGGCTACTTGCGGTCCTCTGGATGATGCAATAACCTGTTACATTGACAAAAACATGCAAATTGCTGGACAGAAGTTTTTCAATTATCTCAGCAACTTTAAAACTATTGGAAATTGTAAAATTTGGCTTATTTGAAAGGTTTTAAACATCATGCCACAGTATTTTATTTTGAATTTAAAATGCTTAAAACACAATTTAAAATCTTTTCTTAATCTGTTTATTTGCACAGACGGTTGCACTGCCTGACATTTTGGGAGTTTTAGATGCCAAAACGTGAAAAATTAATCACACAAAATGGGTTTTGTAGAATAAATTTATATATGTTGTGAATTGATTAAAAATAATAAAAGAAAAGAATTCACTCGGACACAAAAATATGCATGTCATGTCATTGACCCAGGTGCCTTTTGAAGGGGAGTAAAGGATGGAAAATTCTGTATGCTCAGTTATTAACGTGGATTTGCTCAGAGATAGGGTTGGGCGATTATACTGTGAGACAACATACATTTGTCCACCATCTGAGATTTACCAGAGCCGTTACCAGTGTCAATGTTGCGTTTGCATTATAGAGATGTTTGCCACATTAGTAAGTTAGCTAAAAAGCTAAAGCCACATTATACCCATAACACTGCCCTAATACTCTCGACAAACTCCGATGCTAAAATAGGAGACTTTTCGAGTGGCCTTTTATTTTGGCCAACCTAAGGCCCCATCCACACTACTACGTTTTAGTTTACAAACGGAAAATTAAAATGAATACGATCTCCGTCCACACCAGCGTTTCCACTGCATTTTGGAGTTGATCTCCGTCTACATTAAAACGACTAAAAACGCACAGCTAGGACCCGTTCAGGT